ATACAAAATGCCAGGAAACGGTGATGCAGCAGAAGAAATCAGATCAGCAATGGAGATAAGGAGCTAATTCTATGGGGGGAGAGAGAAGCAGAGTTAATATTTCAAGTCCAGTGACCCTTCTTCAGAACTGAGAGTCACTAGGAAAAAAAGTGTTATATGCCGATGACAGGGAATGCAGGGAAAGGAGTGAGGTTAGGTGGAGTCAGAACCCAAAGAGAAAGAAAGAAAGTTAGACAGAGAAAGGGGAAAAGCTGATTGTGGGGATAATGAGTAGGTGAGAATAGGTTGGCTGTGCTGAAAGCAGCCCATGTCATGACAGGGCCTGTGCTGTGGGGCTGGGTAAAGGACGTGGAAGGAGGTGCATCAGGCTTTGAAACGACTGAACTTGATATTGAGTCCTGAAAGCTGCAGAGTCCCCAAGTGAGAGATAAAGTGCTGTTCCACCAGCTTGCTCTGAGATTTGCTGCAGCACTGCAGCAAGACTCCAAGACGGTAATGTTGGCTGGGGGTGGGGTACACGGTGGGGTGTTGAAGAGGCAGGTGACCAGAAGCTCAAGATCATTTTTACGGATGGAATACAAGTATTTCCCCAAAGCGGTTACCCAGTCTGTTTTTTGTCTCCCCATTGTAGAGAAGACTCGATCGTGAGCATTGAATATCGTTTCAGTGAACAGCAGGTAAATCGCTGCTTCATCTGGAAGGTATGTCTGCAGCCTTGGATAGTGAGGAGGGAGGAGGTGTTCCATTTTCTGCGACCCCACGATCTGACAAAAGTTTAGTTTAACTTCCTGTCTGTTGTTGAGGTCAACCAGAGGAGCTGCACTCAATCACTGAACAGGTTGTGGTTGTAGCCAGTCAGCAAGTTTCTGATCTTCAAAACAAACAATTCTGTACCTGCTTTTTTTCGAACAACTAACGCAATTTTTCTTCTTTCTATCTGTCTGTCTGTCAATCTATATTCACACACGTCATTTCTTCAGTTAGACTCCGACTTGCTTGGAGTATACAAGGACTAAAAATCTCGCTAATGCTGTTCTTCCAGGCCAGGAGTTTAAAAAAAGTATTAAACTTGATAATTGTAGAAACACATATTTGTCAGATATCTTTACTGGACACACTTGCTTCGATGAGGCTTGACTCAGTCGTTGTTAATCTTCAATCCTTCCCCAAGACAAAAGACAGCTGGGGTCTTATCTCACACACTATTTTTATAACCACTGCATTAATTCAGAGAACAAATCTTTAAGCCAATGCGTCCATGAAGTTCCATTATTCTGTTCACATAATATTACCACAAATATGTTCCCAATATATAGATTGGATGTGAACCCATCTTTCTTTGAAGTAACAATACAACGGTGAGCAGCTTGTCAAAACATGTCCAAGTGGATTCACAAAGCTTTGTGGTTAAAGGCACTAGGGTCTGGTTAATAATTGATCTGCAGAGAACATGGGCATGACTAATTTATTGGTTATTTTAATGGTACAACACTGATTAACAGAAAACAATTTTGACTGACCAAAATCCAGAAGCGAAAATGTTCACTTGCTACCGAATTGCAATTGGCCATCGAAAATTGGAAAATTGCTCCCATCTGTGTTGCCTCATCGAGGCAAACTAATGTATGTATAAACTTTAATAGAACATAGAACAGTACAGGAACAGGCCCTTTGGCCCACTATGTCTGTGGCTGATCATGGTAAAGTATGTTTTATGCTATCTATACCACACTGGCTGGGCTGGCTGAGTAGTTCTACCGTAAGTAAGGCACAATCACAATGCCATAGTCCTAGAGGGCAGTTCTCTTATTTGAGGAGAATGTGTGAGAGAGAGAGAGAGCGAGAAAGAGAGAGAGATGACTGGTGTTGGTTTAACCTAAGAATTGTAACTCATCAGGTGACAGGAAAAGATGAGAAGAGGAGTCCTTGACAGTTAAAACACAACTGGTCCGGGAATTGGACCCAATGCAGTTGGTGTCACTATGCATCGCAAAACTAGCCGCCCAGTTGTATTCTATCCTTGTGTTCATATCAAAACAGTCCTCAGAATTAGAGAGAAATGAAAGATTAGATTCACGAAGGTCGGGTGGACACAGTTAGCTAAAAGAAGGGGCAATAGCAGTGACATAATTACCTTTAGGCATGAACAGAATCATTTAAAACACAAATATTGTGGTGTGCTGCAATATAGTCGAGTTCTCCATCTAGTGGCAACAGGTATAACTACAGATGCCACATCAAACTGGTGAGGAAATGACACTCTGGTACTCGCATTTGTGGCTTATATTGTGTCCTCAAATTTCAGAGTAGAATTGCACAGTACACAAGGCCCTTCGGCCCATCCAGTCCATACAAGCCAATAATACAATCATCCCACTTTCCCGCACTAGGCCCCCATAGCCTTGAATGATCTGATACTTTGAGTTCTCATCCATGTACTTTACAAAGATTGTGAGGTTTCCTGCTTCAACTACCGTCCCAGGCAGTGCACTCCAGACCCTGTCACTCTCTGGGAAAAAAATACAAATCCACAAATCCCCCTTTAATTCCTCACCCTCTGGGTCAATTTTCTTTTCCTGAAATCCCAACCCCCCAAACCTCCTGCCTTTCACTTTAAAGTTATGCCCCTCTTGTTGTTGACCCTTCGACTAAAGGGAATAACTGTTTCCTGTGCCCCCTGTCCATACCCCTCAAGCTTACACACTCTATCAGGTCACCCCTTAACCTTCTCTGCTCCAAAGAAAACAACCTGAGCTTATCAAGCCTCTCTTCATCGCTGAAATGCTCCAGCCCAGGCAACATCCTGGTTAATCTCCTCTGCATCCCCTCCAGTGCAATCACATCCTTCCCTATAGTACAGAGACCAGAGCTACACACAGTACTCCAGGGATGGCCTCACCAAAGTCCTGTCTAGCTCCAACATCATCTCCCCTCTCTTATAATCTATGCCTCAACTATAAAGGCAAGTGTCCTGTATGCCTTCTGAACCACCCTATATAATAATCGGTTTTGCCACCTTCAGGGATTTATGGACAAACAGCTCAAGACCCCTCTCTCGTCTGAGCTTCCTAGTGTCCTGCCATTCACTGAGTATTCACTCACGTTTTCCTTCTTCCAAACTGCATCACCTCAATTAACTTACCAACCAGTCTACCATGCAGAACTTTGTCAATGGCCTTATTAAAGTCTAATGTTGTGCTATTATTTAAGAATGACTGTAAAAAGAAGCCTGGAACTATAGATCAGTGAGTGTGACACCAGTGGTGGATAAGTTTTTGGAGGGGATTCTGAGAGTCCTGCAGTTTTCAGGATTCAATCTGCACTTGAGTTCTGATGAAGGGTCACCAGACCTGAAACGTTAACTCTTATTTTCTCTTCAAAGATGCTGCCAGACCTGCTGAGCCTTTCCAGCAACTTCTGTTTTTGTTCCTGATTTACAGCATCTGTAATTCTTTTGGTTTTTAATCAGTGTTAGATTATCTATGTGCATCTGTACTTAAATGGGTTTCATCTAGTGTCTAGCGCAATGTGCATGATTGGGTTGAATTCTGTATCTGTCAATACCCGACTGTGACTGGAGCAAAGGGATTAATTCTGGTGTGTGTTAGTCTCTGCTCATTTATGGGAACAGTGCTGGTTCTGGATGCATTATGCTGTTTTCTGTGAATTCTCATATGGTCCTCTCCCCAAAGGAAAATGTCAGTGTGAAAATTCAGAGCTATCTGTTAGAATTACTGCTGCTTGGGCGTTAGATACCTGACACCCATCTAAACCCATTTTAAGACTTGCTGGGATTTTGGAATTCTTCCAAATTCAAACCTGTGTTCATTAACCTCAGCAATTAAAACTAATGATCCCACAGCATTTCCTTTTGCTTACAAATATGATGAAGGTCTGGCTGTATCTTCCTAGTAGTCCTGGCATGACAGATTACAGTTTTCGTTTAATTCAGTTAATGTGGCAGTCAGTCACTGAAATAGAGTCATGCGAGGCTGCAAGGATTCTTTAGCAAAGAAAAAGCAGACATTTATTACGCACAAGACAAAAACAGAGAAACAAAACTGTTGAGAAACAGAAGATCATTTGAACAAATGTTTAAACACAGTAAGACAATGTTTCCAACCTAATTCTGTACAGCACCATAATAAGACCATAAGAAATAGAAACAGGAGTAGACCAATCAGCTCCTCGAGCCTGCTCTGCCAGTCAATAGGATAATAGCTGATCCAACACTCTTCACTTTCCTGAATTTCCCCATAATTCTTGATCAAGAACCTATCTATCTTAGCCTTCCATATACCCAAGGACTTAAGTTATATGGAGAGGCTGGATAGGCTGGGACTTTGTTCCCTGGAGCATCAGAGGCAGAGAGGTGACCTCATAGAGGTTCATAAAATCATGAGGGGCATAGATAAGGTGAATAGCCTAGGTTTTTTTTCCCAAAGGTAGGGGAGTCCAAGTGAGAGAGATAGGTTTAAGGTAAGAGGGGAAAGATTTAAAAGGGATCTGAGGGGCAATGTTTTCACACAGAAAGTGGGGGGTGTATGGAATAAGCTACCAGAGGAAATGGTAGAGGTAGGTACAATTACAACATTGAAAAGGCATTTGGACAGGGACATGAGTAGGAGAGGTTTTGAGGGATATGGGCCAAAGACAGGCAAATGGGATTAGTTCAGTTTAGGATACCTGGTTGGCATGGATGTGTTGGACCAAAGGGTCTGTTTCCGTGCTGTATGACTATGACTCTGTGGCAATGAATTCCAAACACCTACAACACTGAGTAAAGAAATTCCTCCTCATCTCTGTTTTAAATTGGCGGCCCTATATTCTGAAACTATGCCCTCTGGCCCGAAACTCTTCCATGAGGGGAAACAATCTTCTCAGTATTTACCCTTTCAAGCCCCTTAAGAATCCAGTAAGTTTCAATGACATCACCTCTCATTCTTCGATACTCCAGTGCCAACTGTTTAGCCTTTGCTCATAAGACAATCCCTCCATACCAGGTCACCCTAAAGAACATTCTCTGAACTGCCTCCAATAAAATGATCATCTTCCTTCAATAAGGGGACCAAAACTGCTCCCAGTCCCCAAGACAAAGTTTCACCAGCACCTGGTACTGTTGCAGTAAGACTTCCTTATTCTTATACACCAACCTCCTTGAAATAAGGACCAATGCATTCCATTGGCCATCCTGATTACCTGCTGCACCAACGTGCTAAGCATCAATTTACACAGATTGAAGTCCAAAGAAATTACACCTAAATATCAAACGTGTAAGTTATATCTGAATTGATTTGGCCCAGATATTTCCTGTGAACTATAGAAGTTTCTTTCATGAATTCTCTCAAATTTCAGATCTTAAACATTTTCTGTTTCTACTGAGGTGACTGCTTTTCACCGAATTGTTCTGATCTCTCTGTAGCAGAGAAACTAAACTTGAGTCTGACCCCGGTCAGATCTCCTCCAAATTGAATAAAAAAAACTTTCAATCTCTGGATTTTTCAACTAAAATCAATCCTTGATTATTCTGAACTGAAAGCAAGGCAATGTTCTTCAATGTTTACCTACCTGTTGTAAATCAATAGTATCTGAACAATTTCCCATTTACTCCACACAGGACTCCACAGCTGCTTGGTGCTCCCTGCCCACACTAGAATCTGGTGAACGGCCTCCCCCCAGCATGAATTCGCTGGTGTATCAGCAGTTTGGAGGAATTAGTGAATCCCTTCCCACAAGTAGAGCGGGAGAATGGTCTCTCCCCAGTGTCTCAGCAGGTGGGATTTCTGAGCGAAGCCCTTGCCACACTTTCCTCAGTGTGACTGCACCAATGAGTTTCCAGTTCAGTTGTGGATGTTAATCCCTTCCCACAGATCCCACATTTCCATGGTTTCTCCTTGTGACTCCAGTTGTGTTTCGAGAGGTCAGATGATCGGTTGAATGCTTGTGCACACACACAAAACGTGTACAGTTTATCACCGCTGTCAACGGTGCTTTCTCCTTCCATGTTCAAAAATCTAGTGAGATTCAGGTTACAATGAAGTGGGCAATTCTGTGAAATCCCGATGTAATGTTTGGTTGCAGTTTCCCAACTGTGAATCCTCTCCTTTCAATATCCTGTGGAATTGATATAGAACAAAAATAATGTAAGTGAAAGTCTCCCCATAAAAATACAAAGTCATGTCCCAAGATAACACAGTGTGGAGCTGGAGGAACACGGCAGGCTAGGCAGCATCAGAAAAGCAGGAAAGCAGGAATCATCAGAAACACAACATTTCTGAAGAAGGGTCCCGACCCGAAATGTCAGCTTTCCTGCTCCTCTGATGCTGCCTAACCTGCTGTGTTCCTCCAGCTCCACACTGTGTTATCTCTGACTCCAGTATTGGCAGTTCTTACTATCTCTGAGTAAGTCATGCCTCAATGTCTCCTCGTATGGTTCAGTGCGAAATGTACGAACAGAACGGCCAACATATGAACTATAGGCCAGTCCTGCCTGCTCCATCGTTCAACAAGATCATGGCCAAGCTGTTCATGTTCTGAATTCCCATCAACACCAAATAACTTGCTGAATAAGAATCTATCCACCGCCACCTTAAAAATGTTCAATGACCCAGTCTTCACCGCTTTCTGAGGCAGAGAGCTCCAAAGTCGCATTGTTTTCAGGAAAAAACAGTCTTCCTCCCCATTCTGAACTTACCCATAAGAGGAAATATTCACCTTGTCAAAACCCATTCAGGATATTAAACACATCAGCCAAGGCACCCCTCCCTCTTCTACCCGCATATGATTACAAGACCAGTCTGTCCAAAATATCATCAGACAACACGCTCATTCAAATATCAGTCTAGTAAACCTCCACTAAACTTACTCCACTGAATTTCCGTCCTTCCTTCAATAAGGATGGGGAGGTGATGGCCTAGTGGTATTATCGCTGGACTGTTAATTCAGAGACCGAGATAACATTCTGGGGATCCAGGTTCGAATCCTGCCATGGCAGATGGTGGAATTTGAATTCAATAAAATACCTGGAATTAAGAATCTAATGATGACCATGAACCCATTGTTGATTGTCGGAAAAACCCATCTGGTTCACTAATGTCCTTTAGGGAAGGAAACTGCTATCCTTACCTGGTCTGGCCTACATGTGACTCCAGACCCACAGCAATGTGGTTGACACTGAACTGCCCTCTGGGCAATTGGGGACAGGCAATAAATGCTGCCTGGTCAGCGACACCCTCATCCTGTTAATGAATAAAAAGAAAAAAGGAAACCAAACTGCACACAGTAGTTGAATTGTGGTTTCACTAATGTCCTACACAACTGAATCATAAACTCCTTACTTTTCTGTTAAAGGATAACATTCTATGACCCTTCTTCACTTGCTGTACCTACATATTATTGTTGTGTGTATCAGGCACCAGATCCCCGGCGATCTCTCTGCAAGTATGGAATTCTGTACTTGTGCTCTGGACTGTTTTCTGGAGTGAACAACTTCATATTTTACTGGATCATAATTCACCTGAGAAGTTCATTCAAAAAGGCTGCAGACTGATGCAGGTAAATTTTAAGTTTGCTTCACAACAACACTTCCTGCCTGTCATTATAAAATGTAGCCACCATGACTTCATTCTCCTCATCTAAGTCATGGATATAAACTGTAAAACATGGGCTCAGCAAAACCCTGCGAGTCCCCACTCGTCACATTTTGACAATCTAAAAGAGACCCATTTATGAATACAGAGATAGTAGGAACTGCCGATGCTGGAGAATCTGAGATAACAAGGTGTAGAGCTCGATGAACACAGCAGGCCAAGCAGCATCAGAGGAGCAGGAAAACTGATGTTTCGGGTCTGGACCCTTCTTCATTTCTGACATTTTTTTTTGTATATACATTGTGTGGACAGTGTTTATTTAGCAACTTGACCCTCCCTAGAGTCCAGCTTCCTTTGAGAACTTCACATTGGAAACTGCTGGGCCCAGCTGGGCTTGAAAGGCCTCAGGGTAAACTCAGCAGCTTCTCCTCCATCTCCACTCCACTGATACCACGAAGACTTTCAAAAAGGAATTTGAGATGCCCCTGAAGACAAAATGAAAGGCCAAGTGAGAGGAATCGCTGATTTGCTTTTGGAGAAAGCCAGCACAGGCCCAATGGACCGAATAGCCTCCTTCTCTATAGCAATCACTCAGCGATTTTGTAATTAACATGAACCTACAGTGGAGACCAACTCTATGACCAACACCTATCCTGATGCAATTGGACTTTTAATTCATCCATCAGTGTTTCTCGACTTGGTTCTGTGAGCAATACCTGGATCAAAAGAGCAGCAAAATACTGCACCTGCTGCAAATCTGAAATAAAGAGAAAATGCCAGAAAGTCTCAACAGGTCAGGCAGTAGCTGAGGAGAGAGTCAATAAGTGTGGAGCTGGAAAAGCACAGCCGGCCAGACAGCATCCGAGGAGCAGGAAAATCAATGTTTCAGGTTGAAATCCTTCATCAGGACTGGGGAGAGTGAGGGGAGCCCAGAAATAAATAGAGGAAAGGAGGTGGGGCTGGGGCTGGGGCTGGGGCTGGGTAGGAGGTTATTGTGTTTAGTCAGTGGGAAGAGTGGAGCGGACAGGTAAGTCAGAAGATGGACAGGTTGGGGGAGGAGAGATTTTGAAGCTGATGAAGTCAATATTCAGGCTATCGATTCTGCATTTGGTCTCCCCAACATAGAAGAGACCCAACAGCAACGGATACAGTAGTTAAGGTTAGATGAAATGCAGGTGAATCTCTGCTGGATTTGGAAGGATTGTTTGGGGCCTCGGACAGAAGTGAGAGGGGAGGTGTAGGGGCAGGTGTTGCACCTCCTGCAGTTGCAGGGAAATGTACCGGGTGTGGTGGAGGGGTTGGTGGGGAGTGTGGAGATGACGAGGGAGTTGCAGAGTGAACGGTCCCTGTGGGAAACAGAAAGGGGTGGGGAGGGAAATATCATTTTGGTGGTGGAGTCTGATTGTAGGTGGCAGAAATGTCGGAGGATAGTGCATTGTATTCGGAAGTTGGTGGAGTGGTATGTGAGGACCAAGGGAACTCTATCCTTATTATCGTTGAGGGCAGAAGCACAGGAAATTGTTTTTAAATTACATTCATGGGACGAGAGCGTCACTGACCAGGCAGCATTTATTGCCCATCCCTAATTGCCCAGAGGGCAGTTCAGAGTCAACCATATTGCTGTGGGTCTGGAGTCACATGTAGGTCAGAGCAGGCAAGGATGGCAGTTTCCTTCCCTAAAGGACATTGGGTGAAACAGATGGGCTTTTCCTGACAATCTACAATGGTCTCACACTCATCAGTAGATTCTTAATTCCAGATTGTGGATGTTGGACTGAGGTGGACAAAGTCAGAAGTTACACAACACCAGGTCATAGTCTAACAGGTTTATTTGAAATCACAAAGCTTTCAGAGTATAGCCCCTTCATCAGTGAATTAAGACAGAACAGCACTACCTTAATTAGTTTGAACATTTTTGGATTACTTAGTACTTTGGTTAGACCCTCAGCATGCAAATCATAGCTATCATGTTATTCCAGCCATTCAGTTTGTCTCCAGCACCTTATTTTTAATTTTTTTGTAATTATGTCTCTGCCTCATTTAATCAGATTATAGATCATCCCTTTGCTTGTTATTCAGCTGTTGACACTTTAGTCACACCATCTTCTTGGTTACCTGCAGAAACTTATTATTCAACACATTCTCTCACACCAGTTGTATGATCCTTCAATCTCTCTGCCTATAAATTCTGTGTCCAAGTACTCTTCTCTCTAACTTCACCTGACAAAGAGGCTGCACTCTGAATGCTCGTGATATCAAATAAATCTGTTGGACTATAACCTGGTGTCGTGTGACTTCTAAGTAAATCCAGATTATTATTGAATGTGGCGGGTGTGCAGTATAAATTACAAGGAATAAAAATGGTTCAGAACTTGAGAGTCAATACAACGTCAGAATCAGAAGAAAAATGGAATGATTAATGCAGATGGAAAACAACTGCAGACAATTCAATGAGGTGTGTAAAAAGAACAACATGGTGATTAGATTACAGGATTTCAACCCCCCCCAGCATTAATTGAGGTAGTCGTAGTACAAAGGGGTTAGAGGGGACAGATGTATTGAAATGTAATCAGCAGTGTTTTATATATTAACATGTAGTCAGTCCAACAAGTGTCAAAGCAGTGCTGGATTTAATTCACAGAATCTCTAGTGCATAAAGAGGCAATTTGGTCCATCAAGTTTGCACTAACCCTCCAATGAGCATCTCGCCCAAACCCAGCCTCCCACACGAACCCCATAATCCCACATTTACCCTGGTTAATCCACCTGGCCTGCACATCCTTGGATACTATGGGAAATTTAGCAATGCCAATAACCTGCACATCTTTGGACTATGGGACGAAACTGGAGCACCCGGAAGGAACCCATGCAGACACCGGAAGAATGTGCAACCTGCACACAGTCTGCCCAAGGCTAGAATTGAACCTGGGTCCCTGGTGCTGCAAGGCAGCAGTGCTAACCATTGAGCCTCCATGCCGCTCCAAATTCTGGGAAACAAAGCTGGATAGGTGCCCACAGTGTCAGCAGGAGAACAATTTTCGTGACAGTGATGACATCATCATACATCATACATGATATAGAAAAGAAAATAGATTGTCTGTGAAAAAGGGCTATAGATAGGGGAAATAAAGCAGGATTACCTTAAGATAGATACATATGGGTAAATGTACAGCAGAAATTAGTCCAACATGTTCTCCTTAGGGTGAAATGTAGAAGAATTTAAGAACTATTTTGATGTACCCTTGAGACACTAAGGCATACATGGCTATGAGCCAAGTGCTGGAAAATTACAATAGGTACATAGTTGTTTTTGACCAGCACAGACTCAATGGGCCAAAGGACCTTTCTTTATGCTGTAGAGGTCTAAACCTCTGTGACTCTATAACAAGCCCAGAGAACCCTGGATGTCTAGGAGTATTCTGTACTAAATAAGATGGAAAAGAAAAGCTTTTAAGATGTACAAAGGGAGCAAAGCGATGGAGGCCCTAGTGGAGAATAAAAAGTGTAAGCAGGAAAGCAAGAAAGAAATTAGGAGAGTAAAAAGGGGTGTGATAAAACACTGGCAGGGAGAACCCCAAGCTATTCTACAAGGAACACCCTGTCCATGCCTCTCATAATCTTGTACATCTCTATCAGGCTATGCCTCAACGCTCTCTGCTCCAAAGAAAACAAGCCGAGCTTATCCAGCCTCTCCTCGTCGCTGAAATTATCCAAGCCAGGTAACATTCTGACGAATTTCCTTTGTAACCGCTCCAGTGAAATCACATTCTTCTTATAATGTGTTGAACAAAACTGCACACGGTACTCCAGCTGCAGCCTGTAAAAGTTCTGTACAGCTCCGACATGAGCTCCCTGTTCTTGTCACCTACGCAACCGTCCCTTATGCATTTTAAATTACATTAATTGATTCGTCCTACCACCTTCAGGGATCTGTGGACGAGCACCTGAGATCCATTTGTTTATTTGAGCTTCCTAACGTTCTTGCCATTCACTGAGTACGCCCTTGTCAGGTTCCTTCTTTTAAAGTGCATCACCTCACATTTATCAGGGTTAAATTCCATTTGCCACTGTTCTGCCTTCTAACTAAATAAAAACCGAGAGAACTGCGTTGGTGTAAATCAGGAACAAAAACAGAAGTTGCGGAAAAGCGCAACAGGTCTGGCAGCATCTGTAAAGAAAAAAAATCAGAGTTAACGTTCTGGGTCCGGTGACCCTTCCTCAGAACTGATCAGTTGTGAGGGAGGGTCACTGCATTCGAAACATTAACTCTGATTTTTTCTTCACAGATGCTGCCAGACCTGCTGAGCTTTCCCGGCAACTTCTGTTTTTGTTCCTGCCTTCTGACCAATCTGTTCATATCTTCCTGTAATCTAACACCTTTCTCCTCACTGTCAAACACCCAACTAATCTTTGTCTGATCCTGAAACGTAAAGATCATCTCTCAGTTCTTATCCAGATCGTGTATGAATATCACAAACAGCACTGATGCCCATGGTATGTCACTGCACACTGAGTTCCAGTGACACAAACAGCCTTCTCCCACTACCCTCTGTTTCCTGTCACTAAGCCAATTTTACATCCATCTTGGCAAGTTACCATGTATCCTTACATTTATATGGACACTTGCCTTTATCAGTCAAGGAGCAGATTATAAGAGCAGCCAAATTATGTTGAAGCTGTACAGAACTTTGCTCAGACCACAGCTACAGTGAATTTAACCCTGATGAATGTGAGGTGATGCACTTTAAAAGAAGGAACCTGACAAGGGCATACTCAGCGAATGGCAAGAACGTTAGGAAGCTCAAATAAACAAATGGATCTCAGGTGATCGTCCACAGATCCCTGAAGGTGGTAGGACGGGTCAATTAATGTAATTTAAAATGCATAACGGACGGTTGCACAGGTTGCACTGTGTGCCATTCCAGTCACTACAGGCAGAATGTGACTGTCTGCAGCTGACAGGACAATTGGTAGTGTTGTTGACAGTGAGGATGGTGGTCTCAGGATAGTCTGATATTCATCAGCTGGTAAATTGGGCAGACTAATGGCTAAGAGGTGATGCATTTTGGAGATCTAATGAGGGAAGGATCTCCACAATGAACAGAAGGTTCCTAGGGAGTTCTGCATTATCTGCCTGTAAAGCACATAAGACAACACTTTTACTGTACCTTGGGACATGTGACAGTAATAAATCAAAACAAATCAAATAAAATCAAGAAGGCCTTGGTGTACAAGTCCAGAGATCCCTGAAGCTGTCAGCATAGGTAGATAAGGTGGTGAAGCAGGCATATGGGCTGCTTGTCTTCATTTGCTGGGGCGCAGAATACAGGAGCAAGGAAGACTTGTTAGAACTTTATAAAACATTGGTTAGACAACATATAGATAGGAGATTCACGAGGATGCTGCCTGAGATGGAAAGTCTTGATTATTAGGAGAGGCTGGGTTGGGTTTCCCTGCAGCCAAGGAGACCGGGGGTCTGTGTCAAGTATACATAAATCTGAGAGTTGTGGACAGCCTAGATCATGAGAATCTTTTCCCCATAGCAGACAAGTCTAAGACCACAGGGCATAAATTTAAGGTAAGGAATAAGTGATTTACAGGAAATGTAAAGAAAACAAAATTCACCCAGAGAATGGTAGAACATGGACGGCACCGGCTGAAAGGGTGGTGAAGGCAGATTCTCTCACAACGTTTCAGAAGCATCTGGATGAACACTTAAAATGCCAGCGCATAGTAGTCTATGGACCAAATGCAGGTAAATGAGATTAGTGTAGTTTGGTATTTGGTGGTCGGTGGTCGGCACAGTCATGGTGGGCTGAAGGGCCTGTTTTTATGGGCCAAAGGCAGTTTTATGGAGTTAGGTACAGACCAGCACTGAGTGGTGGATCAGGCTTGAGGAACTGAATGGCCTACCTCTGTTCCGATAAGATGATGAGGGGCACGGACAGGATGGATAGAACACATCTGTTCCTTTTAATTGAAGCGTCAGTGGGGCATAATTTCAAGGTGAAAGACAGGAAATTCAGGGAATTCAATGAACTTTATTCTTTTCACTCAGATGGTGGTGGGTATTCAGAATGTATTACGTGGGAGGGTAATTGAAGCAGGCAACCTCACAACCTTTAAAAAAGTACTTGAATGAGCACTTGAAATGTCATAACTTTTAAGACTATGGATCAAGTGGGCTGGAAAGTGGGATTAATGTAGGTCAAGTAGTTTTGTTGGTGCAGATTCGATGGATCAAAGTGCCTCTGCAAAACGGTATAAGTCTACGACTCCATAATTTCTGATGGTAAGAGGTACTGAGGGAAGACGAAACTGGTAAGTCAACAGCGTATAGTTGGGTGACAGGCAATGACAGAAACCTCAGAGATTCAGCAAACAAACACCGAGATATTAAACAAATGAAGTGAGGCTATGGCAGAACTGATCAAGGAAGTCAGAGGTAAAACACAGCATTGGAGGATATGGATTCAGATCCACAGTAAAGGAATTCCAGCAGCCCCCAGAGACATGTATCCTCTCACAGATCACTGGCATGGTACCAAAAAGCTCAAAATTGTAGAAGAATGGTCAAAACTACTCACCATTCAAACAATTTCACTGTGTCTACAATTTGAAAATCTTCCGCTGAAGCCTGCACCTGTAAAAATATCAGAAACACTGAAGTCAGAAAAATCCCACATCTGATAAAATACCTGTGGAGCGGTTGATGTTATTATGCGATTGTCAGTGTGTGACGACATCACACTCACAAACACAGAGCGTCTGGGTCTATGCAAACCAGTGATCACGCACACATTATGAAGGATTGGAGGGTCCCTGGGAGGTTGGAAAAGGGTTTTATCAGAAGGTTTGAGAGATCAGGGATTTTAGTTGCAATATTACATTCAAGAAACTGATTGCACAAGGGGAACAAAAGACAGGTACGGGTAATAGAGGTCTACAAGCATAGAGAGGGGCCTTTTAGCCCGTCAAGGCTGTGCCACTCAGAAACAACCTATTCTCCCATTTTTCAGCACTGGCCCAGAATCTTTAGCACTGCACATGCACATCCAAATACTTCTTCAATATTATGACTGTTCCTGACCCAACTATCTTCATAAGGCAGCAAATTCCAGATTCCCACCACCCTCTAGATGAAAAGCATTTTCCTCACATCCCTCCCAAAACCTCTAGTCCTGACCTTTAAATCTATGCACCCTGGTCACTGATCCCTCCACCAAGGGGAGAAGTTTTTTTCCTGTCTACTCTATCTGTAGAAATATAGAAAATCAGAGCAGGAGGGAGCCATTTGACCCTTCAAGCCTCCTGTGCTAATCAGTATGATCATGGCTGATCATCCAACTCAAACAGCATGTTCTCGCTCCTTTCCCTGCACCCCAAGCCCACCCACCCATATTCTTTGATTCCTTCAGCCAAGCTCCTTCTTGAAATCACACAATGTTTGGGCCTTGACTGCTTTCTGTGGTAGCAAATTCAACAGGTTCACCACTCAGTGTGAAGAAATTCCTCCTTATCTTAGACCTAAATGGTTTACCCTTAGTCTGCGATCTCTGGGTCTGGACTCCCCAACATCGGGAACAACCTTCCTGCATCAACCTTTATCTTGTTCTGTTAGGATTTTACGTTTCTATGAGATCCCCCTCCCTCATTCTTCTGAGCTCCAGCAGATATAACCCTCACCAATTCAACCTCTCAGACATCAGTTCCATCATCCAGGAATCAGCCCGGTAAAGCTTCACAAGAATATCCTTCATCAAATAAGGAGACTAAAAGTCACATTTATCTACATTACATGGCTTGTCCAAATCACACTGAAGCATCTCTGCATCTTCCTCACAGCTTACCCTCCCACACAGCTTTGTGTCATTTGGAGATATTACATTTAGCGCCCCTCATTCAATACATTAATACATTTGGTGAAAGCAGGGGTCCTAGCACTCATTCCTGGCTGCAAGGGGATCAGGGCTGGGAACTAAATCTCCAAGGATATACACCCTATCAATAGGACAGGATGGGGTACCCTTTAAAACCAGCCAGGATCACAAAAAGAGCAATAACAGGGAGAAAATGAAATATGAGAGTAAACTAGCTAGTAAGGTAAAAGAAGATTGCAAGAGATTTTTAAGATATCTAAAAAAAAGAGAGAGAGGCAAGAGTGGACATTGGATGCTGGAGAATGAGGCTGCAGAATTAGTTGTGAGGGACAAAGAAATGGTCAACAAACTAGGTAGGTACTTTGCATCAGTTTCAGAGTGGAAGACCACAAGCAACATACCAGAACTTCAAGACAGTCAGGGGGCAGAAGTGGGTCTCATGGCCATCACTAAGGAGAAGGTGCTGGGGAAGTTGAAAAGTCTGAAGATGGATAAATCACACAGACTGAATAGACAACACCACAGAGTTTTGAAGGAGATAACTGAGTGGATTGTAGAAGCATTGGTGGTGATCTTTCAGGAATCACTGGAGGTCATGCCTGACAAATCTGTTAGAATTCTTTGAGGAGGTAGTGACCAAAGTGAACAAAGGAGAACCAGTGGACATAAGCTATTTGGATTTCTAAAAGGCTTTGACAAGGTGCTGCACAGGAGGCTGCTAATTAAGATAAAAACTCACGGTATTAGGGACAAGGTACTGGGACGGACAGAAGGATTGGCTGACTGCCAGAAGGCAGAGAGTAGGGTCACTTTCAAGATAGCAGCTGGTAACTAGTGGTATTCCACAGTGGTCAGTGCTGGGACCACAACTACTCACGTCACACATTAATGATCTGGAGGAAGGAACTCAGGACATTGCTGCTAAGATTACAGAAGACACAAAGATAGGTAGAGGGATAGGTAGTATTGAGGAAGCAGGCAGGCTGCAGAAGAACTGGGACAGGCTTGGAGAATGGGCAAATAAGTGGCAGATGGAATACAATGTGGCAAAGTGTGAGATTATACGTTTTAGTAGGAAGGTCAGAGAACTAGACTATTTTCTAAGCGAGAAATGGCTTTGAAAATCTGAAGCACAAGGTAACTTGTCAGTCCTGTTGAGGATTCTGTTAAGGTGAACATGCAGGTTCAGTTGGCGGTTAGGAGGGCAAAAGCAATGTTGGCATTCATTTCAAGAGGACTAGAACACAACAACAGAAATGTACTGCTGAAGCTAGGTATGGCTCTGGTCAGACCACATTTGAAATACTGTGAGCAGTTTTAGGCCCTAATTCGAAGGAAAGATGTGCTGGCATTGGAGGGGGTCCACAGGATGCTTACAAGAATGAACCTGGGGATGAAGGGCTTGTCATATGAGGAGCAGTTGAGGACTCTAGGTCTGTATTAGATGGAGTTTAAAAGAATGAGTCGGGATCTGACTGAAACTTAGAGAATACTGAGAGACCTGCATACAGTGGACTTGGAGAAGATGATTCCACTAGTAGGAGATACGAGAACCCAAGGGCACAGCTTCAGGGTGAAGGGATGACCCTTTAGAACTGAGATGAGGAGGAATTTCTTCAGCCAGAGGGTGTGAATCTGTGGAACTCATTGCAGCAGAGGGCTGTGGAGGCAAAGTCGGTGAGTGTATTTAAGATGCAGATAGATAGGTTCTTGATTAGTAAGAGGATCAGGGATTAAAAGGATATGGCAGGAGAATGGAATTGAGAAACATATAAGCCATGATTAAATGGCAGAACAGACTCAATGACACGAATCGCCTAATTCTGTTCCTGCATTTTATTGTCTTACGGTACCCCACTCCCATTCAGCTGAAGACTCGTTTGTTTCTACCTGCAAGTAGTCTTCTATCCATCTCAATAGACTACACCAACCCCAATCGCTTATTATATCTTCTGTTGGAATTTATCAAAAGCCTTGTCAAAGAAACTCTCCCTCATCGACTCTATTATTTAATTCCTTGAAGAATTCCAAGAGATTTGCTAAGTATGATTTCCCTTTTGTAAATCCATGCTGACTCTGTCCAACCCAGTCACTGTTTTCCAAGTGCTCTGTTATTAAATATTTTATAAAATATCAAAACACTACAGAAAAGTCAAAAGGGAATGAAACTGGACAGAGCACCAAGCATCAACCCAGGCAGCAGAACCAACAACGGCACACCTACCCTTATCTGTCCTATCAAGGCCTCCTTACTGGAAACTTGGAACGATGTCACAGTTCCTTTATTGTTGGTGGGTCAAAATCCTGGGAAATGTGTTGGTTTAATGGTATCAGTGCTGGACTATTAATTCAGAGATCCAGGGAATGTTCTGGGAATCCAGGTTCAAATTTGCCATGCCCCTCATAATTTGTATATCTCAATCATGCCCCTCTCAATCTCCTCTCCAAAGAGAACAATCCTAGTCTATCCAACCTTTTTTCAGAACTAAAACTCTCCAACTCAGACAACATTCTGGTAAATCTCCTCTGCCCTCTTTCCAGTGCAATCACATCCCTTCTATTATGTGGAATCCAGAACTGGTCTAGCTGTGGCCGGACCAACTGTATATGCAGTTCCAGAATAACCTCCCTGCTCCTAAACTCTATGCCTCAGCTAATAAAGAAATTGTCTCATATGCCTTTTAAGCACTTTATCTACCTGTCCTCTTACCTTAAGGGATGGGCGGACATGCACACCAAGGTCCCTCTGATCCTCAGCCCTACATTGTTCATCATGGATTCCAATGACTCATTTGCCCTGTCCAATTGCATCATCTCACACTTACCTGGATTGAATTCCAATTGCTGCTGATCAGCCCATCTGACCAGCCCGACTACACTCTCCTATAATCTCAGAACATAAGAACTAGGAGATGGAGCAATTCAGCCATTTCATAAAACTGTGGCTGGTATCATCCCACCTCACTTGCATTTTCCAGCCTGCTGCCCATAAACCTTCAACCCATTACTAATTACTATTTAAATTACATCATAAATTTACTCAATATCGCAGCATTCACTCTATTCTGGGAACGTGAATTCCACAGATTCAGAATCTTCTGAGAGAATTCATTTCTCCTCATCAGTGTTAAAATGTGCCAAACCTTATCCTAAAACTATAACCTCTTATTACAGATTGTCCCACATAACAAAACATCCTTTCTACTTTGTCAATTGTCTTCAGCATATCATATGACTCAGTTAGATAGTTTCTGAGGCTTAAAAGAATGAGAAGTATCGGTCTAAATTGCACAACGTCTCTTCATAAGAGAAGGCCTGTGAACTTATTGATCAAACCCCCAACATTCATTCTGAATCATTTATTCAAACCAGAAACAGGAAGGGCCACAACACTGATCCCTGTGGAGCCCCGAAAGGACACAGGCTTCCAGTCACAAAATCATGCTTCAAATATCACCATTTGCTCCTTACCACTCAGCCAATTCTGGATCTAATCAGCCAAATTTCCTTAGTTATTAAGGGCTCTTCACTTGCCTATCAGTCTTCTATGTGGGACTTTATCAAAAGTCTCTGTGAAGTCCAAGTGGACTATGTCGAATGCATTGTCCTCATCTACACACCTGGTTGCCTCTTCAAAAAAAATCCAGTTGGTCATACGTGACCTCTACTTAACAAAATCATGCTGACTGTTCTTGACCAATTCCTTCCTCTCCACATGTAGATTAATTCTCTCCCTCAGAAATACTTCTAATAGTTTCCTCAC